AACAGAGTTCGATGGAGAATCCTGGTGTGCGGCCTATGCTCTTCCACACGGAACGACGGAAGCTGTATGTATACACATCATCAAGCTTATATGTTGAGGCTGTGGCTTATCACTGTCATTGAGTCCAATATCATGGTAAAGTATCTTGATAGTATTTCTTATTTCTTGGTTTTGGTCTAGCTAGGATTTTATACTATTAAAGTCCTAAGATCTTTACAGAATACTATACTGTTAGCTAAATACGTCAAGGTTCTCCAGTTACACGTTTTGTCGGATTTCAGTGATGTCACATTCCAGAGCAGCAGTGTTTCTAGAATTAGCAGCTGTTATATTTCCACTGGGAATTTTAGTTAACTACAACCTAAAAGATATAAAATTTGGAAGCAAAGGATCTGTGAAGTGACAGTAAGAATAATCCAATAAGTCAACGAATTTGTTGATTGCTTGAACAATTAAGCGGAGATAATAAGACGCTAAATGGGTGGACATGAGATAATGCCATATGATAGTTTACGAGGCGTGAGTCATGTAGAGCTCGGTGAGGTTTTGGCAGGGTGTTTGTGTCGAAGATGGAATATTTAAAACTAGTTTCAGTTTCAGTTTGGGAAGGACAGGAGGCTCGATGGCCTGTGTTAGTCCTGGCAATAGTGGTCCCTCAGTTCATCCAACTTTCTTTTGAAGGAATCGAAGGATGGAGCCTCAAACACGTGCTGAGGTAATGAGTTCCACTCGTTGATGATTCGATGGAAAAGTCGATAGTCACCTGACAAGTAACTTGTTCTTGGCTTGTGAACTTTTTTGGAGTGTCCTCGTAAATTTTCTGTTTTGGAAGACAAGAAAACTGAGGGCATATCAAGTGCAAATTTGGCACTAAGCAATTTGAAAACTGTAATCAAGTCGCCTCTAGTTCTGTGATATGACAACGAGAAAAGGTTCAGCTTGGCCAGTCGAGCTTCATACTGAAGCTTCACTATTCCGGGAATCAGTTTGGTTGCCGTTCTCTGAACATTTTCCAGATGCTCACTGTCTTTTTTTAAGCAGGAGCTGGCCACTTGTATGCAGTACTCAAGTTTAGGACGTACAAACACTGTATACAAAGTCAAAAACGTCTTAGCGTCGACATGACTAAAAGCCCTACGTATTGACCATAACGTTATAAAACCTTTGGCGGCTATTGCACGGCAGTGTGCAGTAGTCTTTAAGACTTGGCTAACGATGAATCCTAAGTCATTATATGTCTGGACGACAGGTAGCTCAGTGTTATTCATCGTGTATGTATCTGTACCTTGATGACCGATATGCATCACAACACACTTGGAAGTATTTATCGACAACTGCCAGGTCTGAGACCATTCAGATAATTTTGAAGTTCTAAGCTATCACCCTCACATCGTATCGTTCTCCATATCTTGACATCGTCAGCATATAGCAAGAACGATGATGATAGGAGACGAGGAAGGTCATTTACATACAAAAGCACTGGCCCCAAAACTGTACCCCGGGGCACTCCACTAAGCACAGTTCCCCAGCTAGATAACTTTGAGTTAACCTTAACTCTTTGTTGACGCCCAACTAAGAAGTCTTTTATCCACATAAATAGATTGCCTCCAATCCCGACATTTCTTAACTTATATAACAGCCGGTTGTGCGGAACCTTGTCAAAAGCTTTGCTGAAATCAATGAAGGCTACGTCTACGGGTAACTTTTGGTCCTTAAGAGCGCACCAGCTTTCAGGAGCCACTAATAAGTTAGTGAGACGAGAGTAACCTATTCTGAAACCGTGCTGCTTCTCCGAAAGGGTCCGGTTTTTATCGAGATACTTAAAAAGCTCCTTCCGAATAATCTTTTCTAAGATTTTAGCAACCACACTAGTTATTCTAACGGGGCGGAAATTCTCAGGTTTGTGTTTCGTACCTGTTTTGAAGATAGGACTTGCTATGGCGTTTTTCCAATCTTTGGGTAAACGACCCTGCGTTACGAATAGGTTAAAGCATATACTTAAATGGTTCGCAACGAAGTTAGATAATTCCTTCAGTAGCCTAGGATGTGATTCATTGGGCCCCGTGGATTTACCTATGTAAAGCTTATTTAGTAGACCAAAGACATCGAGTTCTTTAATAGTCACGCTATCCAGTGTGTGTGGGGGATCTGTATGTGTTGATGGGAGGGTGCATCTATGGTGCTGAAGTAGTTTGAGAACACTTGAGCCTTACCAAAGTCGTCCTCCACTAATGACGCGGCAGTACTGTCTCCCCATAGAGCAGGAATATTTCCTCTTTTCTTTGTCCTTTGGTTTATGGAAGAATACAAACGTTTTGGACATTCTATGGATTCCCTAACAATCTTTTCTTCGTACAACTTTCTAGACTTACGGAGGGTCGAGGCACAATTATTCCGGACTTTTCTATACAGGGATTTAGTTTAATCGGTTCCCAGTAACCTAAATCTATCCCACATTTTTCTTATCTTACGAAGAAGGATTGGAACCTCCCTACTGAACCATGGTGGGGAGTTTCTCGGCCCCCTTGATATAGTCCAAGGGATGTGGGGTGTGGTAACTTTTAAGTATGAATTTCGAAATGCGTCCCAGGCCGTTTCAACTGAGGACTCTAGGTCTATTGTCCAATCTACTAACGATGCTGAGTGCATGATACCTGGTATATTTGCTTTCCAGAAGTTAGGTCTGGATTGGGCTGACGCGTGCTCGTGACTGACAGTTATATGGAAGTCGAAAATTAAAACTGCGTGATCACTTTTACCGAGGGGTGGCATATAATGAAGGTTCGCAACGTCATCCACATAGTGAGTGAGTATCAGATCTAGTAAGGATGATTCAGTGTCCTGGTCGTACCTAGTCGCTTCTTTCACATGTTGTACTAGAACACATGTGATAACCGCATCAACTAGTTCCTGCTCGAAGGAATTTTCTGACGATTCAGTTCGCAGATTTTCCCAGTCTACCATAGGTGCATTAAAGTCACCTAGGATTAGACATCGACAACTTTGTGACCAAGTATTGAGACTGCTTAGCAGGACCTCGTTTATCTCACAGCTTGGACTGTGATAGACCAAATCAATCAGCAGTTCTTGTCCCTTGACTAACTAATTCACACGTCCCATTCTCATGGGATACACTATCGATAATGGCAAATGGGATAGCATTCCTAATGAATAGAGCTACTCCCCCTCCTTCGCTTTTGTGTTCTGTCGGCCCTTACTAACGTAAAACCCTCAAAATCAAGTTCCATCCTATCTATAGCCTGTGTCAGTCAGGTTTCTGTTACTGCGATTATGTCTGGCTTTGTAGAGTAAATCCGTACCCCTAGTTCCGATCGCTTATTAAGTAAGCTTCGTGCATTGGTGTAACAAATCCGAAGCCTGTTTAAGTGCCTTCGTGCTTCACCCAAAGTGGCTTCGGCATCATTCTCTGTCGAAGTCTTACAACCCGAAAATTTACAATTTTCAGGTCCTTTTCGCCAGCGTCTAACCTAAGTTGTAGTTCTTTCTCGGCTTCCCGTCTTTTAACACGGTCTGCCAAAGGTAAGTTCTTTCGTATAAAGACTCCTGAACCCTTTAATTTGTGTCCATTCTGTAAAATTAGGTCACGTTCGTTCGAAGAGCTGAATACTACTTTAAGCAGTCTGGAATGATTTGGTTTCGAGTCCGCTAGACCCCCTAGTCTGTACACCTTTAGCAAGGTGACCCCGGTCATATTTCGAGGCATGAGTTGATTAAGCGGCTGCCTAATCAGTACAATGTCATGCTCAAAACGAGTTTTAGGTTCAGCGCTCTCGCTCTCCTTGATTCTATGAAAAATAACTGATCTGTCTCTATGATGAGCTTTCGATTTTTCAACTACTTCTACGGAGGCAGGGTTCCCTTTTATATCCCTACTTTTCTTCCTTACAACCTGTACCTACTCGTCAACGGTGCTGGGAGAAGCAACAACAGTTGCGTCAAACCTAGTGTTGGATTCTGGAAGGTTGTCGATGACCTGAGAGGTCAGGTTATGTTTACCGCTTGAAACCGATCGAGCTTTGCGATTGCGGCTTCTAGGCGTTTCCTGTGGGATCCCATCTGGGAGACGGGGAACAGAAGACCCTACTTTCCTTGAGCTTTTGTTTAAGGCAGGTCCCTTTGGAGACTGCATTTCCTTCTTTGACCGGCGTGAGTCATCTATTATCGAACTAACTTTAATTTGCTTCATTTCGATTTGCGTGTCGACAGATTGAGTGCTGTTTGACGCGTTCCGACTACGCTTGCTAAAACACTTCTTTGCAGCATCAACCAGTGAGATGGCCTCGGTTAACAGGCTGTTTGCATCCGAACAGCACTGTTGACAAAGCCATACGCAACTCTTCTTACTGAACCGTTTGAAAGACGCAGGCGTTAAGTTCGTGCAAACTTCGTGGTACCAGCTTTTGCACTCGTCGCACTGCATGCCGCTTTCAACGGGATAACGACAACCCGGACGTTGGCAACTGCTTTATCACAGTGTCCGGTCATTTAAAAGGAGTCCTTTTCAAAAAGGAACGAGATGCGATGATACTCAGAAACAAAAAAAATAATCAATGACCAAAAGTGAAGTACTTTAGATTGTTAGGACCAAATGTACTAACAGATACAATTGAAAATGAGGTACTCAAGAGTACCAACGACAAAACTAATTGAGAGAGCGGTAAAAACGGTACTCTAGTCGAATACTTTAACTGAAATGAATTTAATTAAAGTGAAAACAGTAATCTTGATACGTAATAAACGAACAAAACAATGAAACCTACTCAGCGAGGAACAATACCACTGTCCTTTTTAAATAACGCGGGAAATAATAACACATTGAAATTATCAAGACAGCAAGTTCTTTTTAACATCATGGAGTAGTAGTGAGGATTGAGGGAGTGTACATTAACTACGTATCAGTGCCTCAGATTCTTTGAGTGTTTGTTTTAATTCAGTCACTAATGTTGCGGATCTTAGTGTGCGAGTTATAACTGAAGGTTATGATGCTGCTTCTAGTTCTTCTCCTACACGTTGTTGCATCTGAAGTGGTTAGGTAATTGACAGTGTATGAAAATAGCTAAAACTTAGGATCCCTCTTCATCCGTTTAAGTCTGCTCAACGCACTCTTATTGAGTTCGAAACTTCTTTAGAAAATGTTAAGAAGCTCTGGTTATCCAGGGTATCTGGAGTTGATCCCCAACCGGAATACTTGAAAAACTTCCTTGATGTATGATTTTTTAAATATAATATTTCTTGCTCTAGGCTCAATACTACGGTGACATAACTATTGGTACGCCACCTCAGACATTCAGCGTTGTATTTGATACTGGTTCGTCTAATCTTTGGGTACCGTCAAAATACTGTAGCTACTTTGACATTGCCTGCCTACTGCACAGGAAGTACGACAGTTCAAAGTCTTCCACTTATGTCCCGAATGGTACTGAGTTCAGTATTCGTTACGGTACTGGCAGTCTCAGTGGGTTCTTAAGTATAGATTCCCTTCAGGTTGGTTGTTGAAGCTTTAGCTCATCATATTACTTAAACAGTTGGGTTCGCTCAGCGTAAAGCGACAAACGTTTGGAGAAGCGACAAAACAACCAGGATTGGTTTTCGTCATGGCGAAATTCGATGGTATCCTTGGTATGGCCTACCCCTCAATTTCTGTGGATGGTGTTACTCCTGTATTCGTAAACATGATCCAGCAAGGTATAGTTGAATCCCCAGTGTTCTCCTTCTATCTCAGCAGGTTGGTTGTCGTTTTAATATTTAAATTACACACCAACACTTGACTAATAGTTTTCATAATTATTATCAATGTCTTCAGAGATGATATATTTGAGAACAATAATATTTATTACCTGATATGAGTCTTTTGATTTCTGACCTTCGCCTTTACAATGAAATCTATGTTTTCGTTATACCAGCACTAACTTGCAGCAGTTAGAAGTTCTGGGTTTAAATATTTGAAAAACTACCAAAAGTTGAAATGGACATCTTTGTAGGACATAAGGAAGTCAGTTTTTCTAGTTTTTTGTGGTATCCACCGTTCGCAGCGTTTAGTTTGTTGTACAAATATTGTTTTGCGTCCATTTTAGCTAATAAAAGCGGGTGTAGTTAAGTGGTGGTTTTACTAATGTACAAGGAAAACGTGCTTGTTGTTAAGGAGCACTTCTGATTAGTATTCTAGTCCAAATAGGTATGTATATTTACACGTGACTGACTAACCATCCAGTTTCATAAATTCAAGCATTAGGTCTAATTATTCTATTTTGTGTAGTATCAATATAATCTAGAAATTTGCTTGTCTAACCAAAAGTTTCCGTATTCACAACTTTTCTATAAACGTACAGGCATTACTCATCCTTAAACTGTTATAGGAGCCTAGATGCGTATGTAATTGTTTATTTTTATTATGTCGACTATGCACTCCTCGTGAACTCAAATTCTCATAGGAATTTAGAAATTAAAGCTTTCTAAATACCTCTAATATGAGCATAATTGTGCTAAATTTCGCATGATTGCGTCCTGTCGATTAGTGTGTATACTACATTTTCTTAGACGGATTTTAAATAACAAGACATGTAAACAATAGGGTCTTTCATATGCACCCGTTCAAGTTTGGACAGTCCACATTACTATTTTAGATCAGTGAAATAACATAATAGATTGATGACAATCCTCAGTACCGGTAGACAACAGTCATCAGGTTGGCTTAATGCCCTATGGTTTTCTCATTCGAATTGCTGGTTTTTAGTGTACGGAGACTATATACTAAGTTAGAAGTAAATAAACTATTCTCGTTGAAATGTTGCTTTACCATCATTCATGAAATGTACGTGCTCGTTAGTTTCGGAGGTAACACTCAAGAAAATCGGCTGTTCAGTTAGTGTTTATCCAGTGCTGCAAAATCCATCCGGGGCATTTCAAAGATTATTTTTCACGGGATGGTTGGACTCGTTAGTGGACCCCTAAATATTTTAAACTGTTCAACGGTTTAAATATCCAATTCTCTGATCAACTGTTGCAGAATTTAATAGGGTTTCTGAATCCAAAATAAACTAATGCTATTTATTCATTGAGTATTTTTCCACCATAACTTGGTAAAAAATCCTATTATGGCCAATACCGTTTTCCTATTGCATTATTAGTTTCATTAATCAGTCAACTAGTCAATTGAAAAACAAACCAAACAAAATTAGTCGTTTCCATACTGCTACATTCTTTATTGAACCTTATGTTGTAAATATGATAGTTATTGGTGTATCAGTCAATAACGTTACATGTGAAGGTTTATTATTGTCCCGAAGAGTGATGTTTAATCTTTATATTTTAGGAATATATCAGCTGTACTGGGTGGTGAACTGATGATTGGTGGTATCGATGACAAGTATTATACTGGTGAAATCAACTATGTGGACTTAATCGAACAGTCCTATTGGTTGTTCAAAATGGACAAGTAAGCTAAAACTATGGGAATGTTCAGTAAATCTTATCATTTAAAGCCATTTAACTGGTTTCTTATTGATTAGTTATGTGACTTTTTTAAGACAAGTGGTTTACTATCCAAATAATATTTCCCAAACATACGTAGTGAAACATTGGTGTTAATTTAGAAGGCAAAAGACTTTCCACTAGCTTCATTACAATGTAGATGTTTTTACTGACCTTGTGTCTTCATTAGATAGTCCCAGAAAAGTCCTGTCCAACGAGTCGAGGGCGGCCGTGGTGTCCGGAAACACTATGATCGTTTACCTGTAGTACGGCGGTGTTTCAACATTTGCGGAGAATGAGGATATGGTTAATGCATCCCCAACCAAAGCAAAAACGGGTCTGTTCTCGTGAGTCAGTCTTTCTCGCGTTTTGAATAATGCGTATAACGGAAGCTAAGACTTTGGACGCAATCAGAAATAGACTTATCCCCCGATAGTTGTTGCATAGGTGATGTGAACCCTTTATAAATATAGGGACAACTGTCGACTCATTCCATGACGTTGGTACACTCTCTAGCTCCCAAACCTTTGTAAGCAACGTCGTCAGTTCCTTAGTCACAAAGTCACCACCATCTTTAAAAAGGGCTGGAGGTAAGTCATCTGGACCCGGTGCATTGTAGCGCTTCAAAAATTGGAGTTCCTTGCGGACTTCCGCCTCATTTGGTGGATCAGTCGTCACCGGCCTTGGAGGACAGAACTATCTGATCGATGTCGCTGGGAGAGAGTAAACTAGCTAAACTGTCCTTCAAAAGAAAGTGCTTGTAGAAGCCTAGTGCTCATAAGCTTCAAGTTACTTTACTCACTATTTTCATGGCGTCATGCAATTGCAGCCGTTTCTTATCCATGCTTTCCAGTGGATTGATAGCTAGCCTTGAACCTAGCTCGGTTTTGTGTTTAGTTGCAACAGAATCCGTAACCAATTCACTGACATCGATTCGTTTATGACGATGAATTTGTTGGCCACTGGAAAGTAAGGTAAGATTAGCGCAAACAGGGACATAGTCAGATTCCAGATAGGTACTCAGACAGGAGCGACCGTTTTCTACACATCCACGCCAGCGGTAGCTGAGTCCAGCCTTGAGATGCAGAGGGAGGACTCCAGGCGGTACATCGGCGATAACGGTGCCGGAAGTTAGTGTCAGCTAAAAACAGGTTGTAGTCTGCTCAAAGTTGCAGTAGACGGTCCCCGTTATCTGACCTGTGACCAACGAGTTCCCACCGACCACCCAAACGAATCACTTCTGTCCTTAGATGCCCGACCTTTGCATGCAAGTCTCCGACTAGTACTACAATATATGTCGAACACTTTCTGTAGAGGAACATTTAATTGGTGGTAGAACTCATTCTTGATCGGATTCGGGCTACAATCTTCCGGAGCGTAAGCGGAGATGATGAAAGACATCGTTTTTCACACCGATTTCTTCGCACTTCGATGGAACGTTTCAATGTAACAGCATATAACCGACTGCTAATGGAAATCCAATTGATCAGTGCTGTCTCAGCTTTAGAGCTTAGTGTGACACCAACGCCAGAAAAGCCAGACAAAGATGCCACAGGGTCACCGGATAAGCGCACGTAACACAAGCTTTTCAAAGAGACAGATGGAGAGCGGATTTGTAGTACTTCACTAGAGTCTTGAATACGGGTCTCGGATAGACTGCAGACATCGATATTAAGACTTTCAATAGACATAGCCAACCCTATATGTTGTCCGATCTGCATTAGTGTGCGAACGTTCAAAGACGCCAGTTTGAATGGTATTCGTGGTGGTTGCATTCAACTTTCGACCAGTCAGTAACTCGAGATCGTTTAGATAGAACAGAGTTTCCACCATAGGTGAGCTGCTGTATAAGTTGAAAAATAAGGATACACCAAGTGTAAATAAAAGAGTAGATAAGTAACGTAGTATGTAAATAATAAAAATGAGTGTGAATTGTCTGGATTTTAATTGAAATGAGAATAGTATTTCCAGTAATTATCGTCATTTCATTTGTGTATGGGCTGTGATACTGCCCGGGTGCCCAAAGCGAAGCAGGTTGTTTTCTTAGGGGATCACCCGGAGTCTTCGACCTAAAGGTCTCATCGATAAGGCAATGGAGCAACGTCAGAAGATGTAGTCCCATGGTAGCCGGTGACCAACAATTGGTTCATACGCCGTTTGTTCCCTCAGGATCCAGTAGTCTGGCTCGGATATACTTTGGCCCAAGTTGCTATACCTTATTTAGACGACGAGATAAACGGCAAGTAATCGAAATAATGTTTGTTTCAGAAAGATGATGGAAGGGAATATGTGAAGCAATGTTGGAATTCAAGATGTAGAATAAGATGAAAAGTGGATGCATCTGCTTCATTGCTTCCCTTGCCAAACTACGTCACTCATAATTCATTTTCTATTGTTTGTTTGAATCCTCCAATTAATGTGTAGGACTGCAATTGATCAGTCTCTTATTGACATATGTGTATCCTGTGTGGACTGCCCTGATACTGTCTTAAATCATAAGCACTATTACCAGAGATGGATGACGACTGGCAGTGGGATCCAAGACGCTCGTTCCGTCCCATGTGGTGTATAACACCATAGCGTTTGAAGCTAACGGTAGTGTCCGAGTCCTGGCGTGAACATCAACACTGACATGCAGGTACATCTAGCTGACGAATTCTAAAGAGGACGAAACGCCCGTCCTGGATTCCACTGCTAGGCTTCGTCCATTTCTCCTTATGCCACTAATTTTTTCTAATTATTGGTTACGACAATCATACGGACCTCAACCAGGTAATCTGCACCTACTTACACAACTCAGTCTAACTCTCAATTACTTCATAGGCTGATGCTACATTTTGGCTTGGTCTTCACAGCCTACTCCTACACCAGATATCACCCATAGTGGTAGGTTGTGGTTAGGCATACGTGATGCACGTCTCAACTATCTTATTTGTTGAGGATTCACTGCAATGCCAACCGATTTACCATCTTTACCTACTACACTGTATGTCCGACCTCATTCAGTAGTCCCAAACCACGCGAAAAGTGCGTCGGTGAACTGACTGTCAGAAATCTGCATTCTCAGTATGTGCTTTTAGAGTCCATGTTTTTGTAAGTTTATGATGTACATTGCCTAGTTCTATTCTGTAGTTTTTATTGGATTTTTATCTAAATATATGTATCTGTGTTTCTAAAATTCTCCTTCAAACAGATTGACTACTTCAGATATAACGGTTTGTCCTGACGGATGTCTGGCTATTGCCGATACTGGCACTTCGATGATCGCCGGTCCAACTGACGAAATACAAAAAATTAATGCAAGGCTCGGAGCCACTCGTCTACCTGGTGGTATTTATACCGTTTCTTGTGGTAATATAAACAATCTCCCAACGATTGATTTTGTAATCAACGGAAAACCTATGACATTAGAACCTACAGATTATTTAGTGAAAGTAATTTTCATTCTGTTTTTCCTTATACGTATAAGGTGTGTCTGTTTATTTCACCTATATCAATACACTTTTTTTCAAACTAAATATCAGTGAAAATTATTTTATTCTATATACTTGTCCACTCTACTTGGATTTCCTCGTTTATTGTGGCAAATGTGTATTTCAGGTCAATTTCTAACACTGATGTCTAGTTAGCATGAAAGTATATATGTCTGTCAGAGCTCAGAGAAAAAAATTTCGTGCGGATAAAAATGTTTTTAATATTTGCATTAACTAACCGTTCAATCTTTTCTCCACATTTAAAACCAAACAGAATTGGATAGAGGTATCAAATGACTATCATGGATTTGTTTTACTTATATGTGTATCTGTTTTTGATTAACATATGCCAACATTTTATGGATTCAGAAAGCTTGATTGGCTTTCGTCAACTTGTAAAGTAGGTGAAATGACAGCTGAATAAAGAATGAGTTAAATGCACAGCAGTTTCCTCTATTCCACTTTATGGACTTTAAACACGACCATTGAAAAAGAGGATATTTGTAGGTTACTAGTATTTAATCATAAGTTCACCGGCGCAGTTTGGGATCACTGAATGAGGTTGAACATATAGAGTAGTAGGTAAAGATGGTAAATCGGTTGGTATTGCAGTGAATCTTCAACAAACGAGGTACTTGGAATGTGCATTACGTATGCCCAGCTACTGGAAGGAAGGTGGGTGGATCAAACCAAAATGTAGCATTAGCCTATGAAGTAATTGACAGTTAGACTGAGTTGTGTAGGTTGGTGCAGATTACCTGATTGAGGTCCGTATGATTATCGTGATCAATAGTCAGTGGCATGGCTCGGAGCATTCATTCTTTTTCACCATTTAGATTCTGAACCCCGTAATATCCTTCTACTTATTTTTACTGTTTATACCTAATCCTTACTACAACTGATATTGTCACTACTTTTAGTACTTTGGTATTGGTCTTAATAATTTATCTCACTGTGCTAATGTTGCGTGACAACTTCATTCTGTGCAAATATGTACGAGGTTCTACGTTGTGTACGACTTACTGGTTGATATGATTGGATATATAAGTTGCTATCATTTATAATAATGCCCTGTAGTTAGGAGAAAATTAAAATATACCGAGTGAGTGAATCTCATAACTTGTCTGGTAAAACGTGTAATGGGTGACTACTTATTAATTGGTGTCTTGAATCCTGGTTCTACTCAAATGTTCTTCCACGTTAAACAACTACTCTTATTTACGCCTGTTAATCCTCATAGGCCGCCCACCAGGATTCTCCATCGAACTCTGTTCTCAACGATCCTTTGCAGTTGTTTCCAATCGCTATTCATTCCTTTCATTTCTGCCCCCCCAGTTCTGGACTCAATGTGTTCCTTAATCTTCCTCTTTCCCTTTTCTCTTCAGGATTCGGAGTTAGGGTTTGCCTCGTGATTCAGTTTGGCGATTTCCGTAATGTGTGTTCTATCCACTTTCAGTGTCTTTTCCTGGTTTCCTCTTCAACTGGAAGCTGGTTTGTTCTCTCCAACAGTAGGTCGTTGCCGATGGTATCCGGCCAACAGATATTGAGAATCCTGAGTAGACAATTGTTTACGAACACTTGTAGTTTTTTGATAATGGTTGTAGTAGTTCTCCTAGCTTCAGCTCCTTACAGTAGAACTGCCTTGACGTTCGTATTGAAGATTCCGACTTTAATGTTGGATGACAGTTGTTTCGAGTTTCATGTGTTCCTCAATTGTAGGAATGCTGTCCTTGCTTTGCCGATTCTTGCCTTTACGTCTACATCAGTTCCTGCTTGTTTATCGATGATGGTGTCCAGGTACGCGAAAGCTTCCACCTCTTTCAGAGCTTCTCTATCAAATGTGATTATGTTGGTTGTGTTTGAGGATCTTTCATTTTCTCTTGTAGATGTTGAGGCCTACTGTTGCATAAGCTGTTGCTACACTGGTTGTCCTCATTCGCATTTGTTGCTGTGTATGGTATGGAAGAGCTGGGTCATCTACGAAGTCCAAATCGTCTAGTTGCATCCAATCTGTCCATTGTACTCCGTACTTCTCAAATGTGGAGGTCTTCATAATCTGGTCGACCATCAGAAGAAAGAGAAAGGGAGATAGTGAAAAGCCTTGTATGACTCCGATCCTCAGTTGGAATGCGTCAGCTGTCCTCCATGCATGACTTTACGGTGTAGTCCGTCGTATGAATCCGTATGGTGTTGACGATTTTCTCAGGTACACTGTAGTGTCGAATAAGCTTGCATAAGGTCCTCCTCCTGTACTCACTGTCAACCCGTTTCTCATAGTCAAGGAAGTTGATGTATAGTGACGGTTTCCATTCAGTCGATTGTTCAAAATGATCTGTGGTGTTGTCATTTGGTCTGTACACGATCGATCCTTACGGAATCCAGCCTATTGATTTCGAAATTGGGTGTCTATTAAATCTTTCATCCGATTCAATAACACTGTTGAAATCTTTTCCTGGCACTGATGCCAGTGTGATGCCTCTATCAGGCAGTCAGCTACAACGTAGGATCAGGCCCATATGTACATCAGTCCAAGTTGCCACACCTTATTAGCACAACAAGATGAACACCGGATTCATAGAAGTAGTTAATTCAATGGTGTTAAAATTTAAAAGAAAGACTGCATATAAGAGTAGGGTACAGAAAGAAAGAATGATATGAAGCTATTTTATTCTCATAGTTTAAAGGAAGACAGAGAGTGTATACACCTACGCCATTGTGATAGATTCTGAGCCATGTCACCCAGTGTCCAACCATTGGTTATGATAGTCACGCGAACCCCAACCAAGTAGTCTGCATCTGTCAACATGGCTCAGACTGGAAGTTAGTGACTTCAAGGACTGATGCCACGTCTTATTTTGGCCTCCCCTAACTCTCTTTCGCCCGCCCCCAACACTAGTCTGCATTGCGCGTCGTGGTAATCGGTGTTTAGGCCTACTCAACACATGGCCCGACTATTTCAGTCGATGAAGATTCACAACCTCATCAACTGGTTTACCATCATTCCGTAATACCCTGCGTCTAACCTCACTGTTACTTACCCGGTGATCCCAGCAGACGCCAGCAATATTTCTAAGGCATCTATGGTCAAATACTAGTAGCTTACGTGTATCTTCTACTCTTAATGGCCATGTTTCGCTGCCGTAAATTAAAACAGGACGGACTGACGCGCAGTATACTCGCCCTTTTAGTGATAAACGGATATCTCGCCTTCGCCAAAGGTGACGTAAGTTGGCAAAAGCCAAACGAGCTTTTCGAGTCCGTTTAGAGATTTAGTCAGACACCAACCTGTTAGGGCTAATCAGACTTCCAAGATAAATGAAGTTGTTGACATGTTCGACTACTTCACTCCTTATCCTTAGTTCAGGTGTTGACACAGATCAGTCCTGAAGCAACAACTTGCACTTAGAGGGAGAGAAGCGTATTCCAAACATTCTGGCATTGTTGCTTAGTGCTACCAAAAGACTGCATTTTATCAGCGTCTTCACTAAACAGGACTATGTCATCTGCGTATTCTAAGTCAATAAGTTGACCTCCTGGTAGGTCTATGCCCGAAAATTCAGTCGACGAGAGCGTTATTTCCATCAGTAGGTCTATGATGAAGTTAAACAAAAATGGAGAAAGTGAACAGCCTTGACGGACACCACTTGAGGTTACAAAAGCAGATGACAGTTCGCCATAAGCTCTGACTCGACTGATCGTGTTCGGGTAAAGAGCCTTCACTAGGTTTATGTACTTGTGGGGTACGCCTCTCAATGACAGACACTGTCACAGAATGTCGCGGTCTACCGAGTAAAATGCTGCTTTTAAGTCAAGAACGACCACCTCTATAATTCTCACACTTGCTCAGATCTTTCTTTCCATCCTGTTGGCACTTGTGCTTCGTTTCGAATCTTTCTGAATAGGACGTGAAACGTGTTTAGAGTCAGCTTCAAGTGGTATGTTGTCTGTTCCTTCTTTATTGTAGTCTTGATATGTCTGATGACCATGCTAATTTCTTCGATTGTTGGTGTGGTGACCTCTATAGTAAAGTCTGTACGTGTTGCTTCGAAACCTGGTGGGTTCAATGGGACTGGTCTATCACAGAGTCGTACGAAAATGCTCCACCCACCTGTTCCGATGTTCTTGAATCTAAGTGACGGGCTTGCCTTCTTTGTTCTTGACTATTCGCTGTGGTTTACAATATTTCCTTGCTAGTCTCTTCGTTGTGTCATATAGTTGTCTCATATTTCCTCCCTTTATAGCTTTTCCCACCGTCATTGCAAGATCTTCCGTGTACTTCTGTTTGTCGGTTCTACTGCCCCTCTTTACTCCCTTATCCGCTTCTGTGCATTCAGTCTGTGCCTCGAGTCCTGTTCAGATTATCTATAGAAATGCATTCTTTATGATGGTCCTCCTATAGACCCTGAACGTTTTCACATGTTGAAGTTAGTGCTTCTTTGGTTCCTTTCCAGTTATCCTACATAGTAGTTCCCTCTCCTTGGAGTAGACCTTGTCAGGTTTGGAACCTTTTATTGAGAGCTATCCTTAATCCACAGAGTTTGTCAGTATCTTTAAGAAAGGCGGCGTGTAACCTTTGTAATGCTGTTTCTCCATTTGTCCAGTGCTTCTTTAGCTTCGGTTTGACCTTGGCAACCACCAGTCACCACCACCAGGTGGTGATCCGAAGCTGTGTCGGTACTTCTCTGTGTTCTTGCGTCTTCCATTGTTCTTCTGAATTGTTTAGTGATACAGATATGATCGACCCGGTTCTCTGTAGTGTGATTCGGTGAGACTCACGTAGCTTTGTGTATGTGTTTGTGGAGGGAATGTATTGCTACCTATAACCATGGTATTGAAGGCATATAAGTTTGCAAATCTCTCACCATTCTCGTTTTTTCTTCCAGTTCATGTCATCTCATGATATCTTAATACCTAGTGTTATCCACTCCGACTTTGGCGTTTAGGTCTATCAGGATGATCAG